TATAAAAGTCATTTTTGTAATATGGTTGCTTGTTTACCTTCAATTCTTTGGTCATTTTTTATTTTTGTGTGTCAAGATATTGTAATAAGTCAAGTATCTAAAATGAATGGATTTTTATCAGAGAATTTTCGCTAAAAAAAATAGAGGGAATTTTTGCTAGAATCTCTTTTTAGTTTCTCGAATTTAACTTGTGAAATTTCGAACATTCAATCGTAACCAAAATAAATAAAATTTATAAATATATAATGTGTGAAGTTATTTAGAGAAGCTATAACCATATATTTGGCCGTATGACAGATTTAAAATTCGCTCATTGTCCAATATACTATTCAGGAATTATGTACTCCCTCCATTTTTTTTTTGTAAGCTAGAGTTGGGATATTTTTCACTATTCATATGTTATCATTGACTTATTTTTTTTATCAATATATAATATATAAATATGATCATATAATATGTTTTTAGATTTGTCATAATGTCTACTTTTATAAATTAATTTTTTCATAATTTTTACTAAGCTGTAATTAAAGATATTGACGGTCAAAGTTATATCTCGCCAAATGTGCACATCCAACTCTAACTTATATAAAAAAAAAAAAACAAAACAGAGGGAGTATATCACTATATAAAATTCTTTGGTTGTCATCATATATACCATCATAATGGTATGACTCGTCACACAATTCTTCTTCATATTGTACGAAGTACGATTAGTATGAGTCTCAAGTCCTAATGACCAACATGTATATTTATAGGTCAATATGATAGTGATATATGCATAATTTTTTCCATAAACAAAATGGAAAGGTACTACTTACTTGCTTTAAAGAAGGCATCACTGCTTCAGCAAATGGACTTTCCCGTAAAATTCTTCCATATCCTTCAACAACACAAACGCATATTGCATTAGATTGTAAACTGTGATATAAAAATATGAAAATTCAAAGGAAAAACTCCAAGTACCTTGAGAAAATGAGAGAACCAAAAGTGTCAAAACAAGAAAAAATGCTACAAATTGAGAATGACCCATTATTTCTTTCACTATTTATGAAATGGGTTGCTCTTAAATTTCAGTGAAGTTTGAGTTTATATAAATGCCAAGAACCTAGCTTTTCTGGAAACTCTCTCAATAAAAGTTTCAGATCCAATGCACAACTCTTTGATCTTTATTGGGTGCTATGAATTATTAGTTGTATAAATTAAATTAATTTAGTGCATCAGGTTGTGTAATTACCTTGAAAGTCGTAACCCAACTTTGAGTTTAATAAATTTATTTAATTATGCATGTAAACATGTCTAAGATAGGTTTGCAATACTATAATGTATGTGGGTGTGGCCTTAAAAGTTGACTTTATAGTGTGTATTAAGTGCTAATTGTACTTCTTTTGATACTATAACTGTTTAGTGATTTAGAGTTTCAATATTGTTGATTGGTTAATCTTCGTGGAAGCATGGTGTGCTTTTATAAAGATGTAACCTGAGTATTAGTGCTAAGTAATTGGTGTAGGTGCCTCCTCATTGGGGTGAGTGATTCAGTTTTAATCAAACATGTATGAGCTTATTTGAACTTATTTGAATTTATTGGTATTAATTCAAACTAAATTTTTTGTATACGGATCAAAAGAACTGTCCATGGAGTATTTGGTTTTATGGACATAAACTTGATGGAAATATAGTGTTTTCAAGACTAGTAGAAGAACAAACTAATTAACCAATATCAGTAATGAGGGTTAAGAGAAGAAAGCCAACGGAAACTTAGTGTTGGAACGATGTATATAAATACGAAAAAAGTGTACTCCACAATCCTACTGTGATTACTGCAACATGTCATATCATTTCTTTGATCTATATATATTAATTTTTTTTATTGGAATGGAACATGTTCTGAACTTGTTATGTGATTAAATGTGCAGTTATGAATTGGAAGTTGATTTTATAGTTTCAATGAATTTGTTTTACGGGAAAAATAATAATATGATTAATGAATAGTCATATGACATTTATGAAGATTGTGAACCCTAAATCTAGAGAAAGTAACATAATTATTACAATAAAAAACATAATTTTTGCATATTTGGCATAGCTCACACTCCACCACTTCAACCTTGAATGAATCTAATTTTATTTTTTTTTAGGTAAGGTGAAGGGGTCTACCGGGCCGGAACCCCTCACGGGTCAACCAGGCCCAACTTACCGGGCTAAACAATTTGGAAGAGTGGAGGGAAGGTAAGGGAATCCCATCCCCAAATTGTCATTAGTGGGGATTGAACCTCCAACCTCATGGTTGAAAAGTGCTCTCCTTTGCACTAGACCAAACTTAGTTTGGTGCTTATTAAATCTAATTGTATAGAGATGTAATTGACGTATTCGTTTTTAAAACACTAGTAGTTGTCCCATCGCGCGTGTTGCGCGCAATAGTCCAGCGTTTTTCTTATTGCCGTAATTCGTAGCTTAATTAGATGTAATTAATTATAAATTATGTTATATTGCTGATTTATATTGGGAAATTATCAATGATACACTCCAGGTTTTGACTTTTATCTTTGATACACATCATTAAACTTTGATAATAAGCGGTATACTTAAACTTTTCCCTAATTAATTACAGTAACTAAAACATTAATTAAACGTTTAATTAGGTATAATGATAGGGATTTTGCAATGACTTGACTAAATTTCCCCCTAGTCATTAACTCTCCCTCCAAGCCCAACTGTCAATATTAAATACTTCTTCCGTTCTTTATATATCGCATCATAGAGCTTTTGACAGCAAAATTTGATAGGGGTAAAATTACAAAATTATCCTTGTATTAGAAAAAAAATGAGACCCACCAAAACCTGGAATCTAAAAACACAACATATACACGTGCTGTAATCCATTACCCAAAAGTCACCAAAATTCTGACTTAACTCCACCCACCAACAATAAAACAGTGAAAATACAATACTGATGTTGGTGGATAGATCGTAACTGTAGCACAACTCCACCTCAGTCACATATTAACCCACTAGTACAAAACTAACCTCAAGTAACACCCAAAAAGTGTTACAAAAAGTGGTAAAAGTGTTATTATAGACAATAGGTAACACTTTAGTGGGTGATACATTTGCCCATGTTACCTAAGGTCTTATGACACTTTGGACAACATATGGTAACACTTTTCAAAGTGTTACTATATAACCTCTTATGTTACACTTTTTTATATCATTAGTATCATTTTTAGAGTGTTACTTTTTATTTCTTAAGTAACACTTACTTATCTTTAGTAACATTTTTCAAACATATAGTATAACTTTATCTGACATTATGTATCACTTTTTCAATCTAATATAACACTTTGTTGATTATTAGGTAACATTTTTCAATCATCTTTTGGCATATAGTAGCACTTTATTCGACATTATGTATCACTTTTTGCAAGCTAATGTAACAATTTATTCATTAAAAGGTATCATTTATTATTATTATTATTATTATTATTATTATTATTATTATTATTATTATTATTATTATTATTATTATTATTATTATAACAAAAACCTACAAGTCAATCCATTTACAAGAAATTAGTGGGGAGCCGAGATACATACTGGGCCCCCTCCTTTCTAGCTATAGCAAACCCGATCCTGTTGAAGATGTGAGCAGCTGCACGAGCACCAATATCCTAAGTCTTAGCAAACGCCTGAACCCGCTTCAGCAACGCAACAGCGTCCTTCTCTAATTCCCCTAATGAAGAAAAGGAGAAAGGAAGAAAACCGTAGCCAATAGCCCTACAACGTGCCCCATACTTGTCTCGCTTCCGCTGAGCCGCAGCCGACACAACACGACAAGGAACGAAGTCAGACAACCCAGATTGTGTCAAAGGAGAAGACCCTGTCAAGTCAACACATACATCAAGGCCTATATCCCAAGAATAAAGCAACACATCTGCTGGTTGAAGAGCCCCGTCATTCCCTCCAGTCAACCCAACGTTAACCTCTTTTCTTGCAGAAATCCCAAAGCGAAAACAAATATCAACTAGGGTATCACGAACAACGTTGTGCCGATGCTTAATACCCACCATCCCAACACAAGACACTACATGATACCCATAAATATCTCCATTAAAAACCCTTGAGCAAGCAGAACAAGGTGTCGAACGAAAAACAAGGGAACACCCAACCGATAGCAAAGAACACAACGGTAAGCCTTACCATTCATAGTCTGACCCAAACCTGAAATTGGGACCGCTCGCAACCAGGCAGAAGTGTGATCCCCTGCTGGGACTTCCATAAGGCAACCTGACGCGGAGATAAGGAGAAAGTGGATTCTACAGATGCAGTGACCTTCGTGAAATATACATCTGCCAATTTCTTCATGAGTTTTGGGGCAGCGATCTCACTAGGGTTACGCATAAGATCAGTGTCCACAGTCCTATTAAAAAGACTAAGAGCACCATCGAAGGCCGGTCTTGGACCAACACTACTAGAATTGCGAAGAAGCGAAGCCTAAAGACCAGAAGACTACAAACGCAACGCAAGGAAAGCGTAGTGCCGAACATCACCCGCTGAATAGACACCCAATCCACCATAAGAAAAAGGTAATGTGGCAAGTCGCCACTGACAACCACCAAAACCTGGCCCCGAAGCAATTACAATGTGCTCCATAGAAGCTCGAAGGGCCACATCAAAAGAAATCTAGGCTGCTTCAAAAAGACGAGGAGGACTAGTGTGCATAGAAAAGTAGAGTTTTGAAACCCCAGTACACGCACGAAGAAGTAACAACTCACATTGGGAATCATCAAGCTTAGCAACAGCATCGATTAGCACAATGGTCTTCGACAGTCTCTGCGAAACAAGCTCACCACAGAAAGAGGAATTATTATTATTATTATTATTATTATTATTATTATTATTATTATTATTATTATTATTATTATTATTATTATTATTATCATTAAAAAATCACAAAATGATATGAAGTACTTCACCTGTTCACCACAAGATATATTCATTATCAATAAAACTAAATTCAATCTTTAATTGATAAAGGTGAAGTCAAATTCAAGAAAAAACCAAATAAATCAAAACTTAGTAGTACTCCATTACACTATTACTATATACAATTAAAAAGAAAAAAACTGCACAACAGCTCTAAGGAAATAAAACTAATGGAATCAAGTTTCTCTCAATCTTCTACTAATTGCTTGAAGATTTACGAGTACCTTTGTCTTCAATTAATCTACACAATAAAAAAAAACTAAAATTAAAAATCAATCAAATATACACTAAAGTTAAACATAGAGACATAATTAGGCGTAACAAGTGAACACAAAAAATGTATACAGAAGCCTATAAAGATTGCTTAATTACTAGTAGAATACAATAAAAAAACAGGAGTGAAACCATACTAATACTTGGGCAGGCGTATTGGCGATTGCAATGACAAGTTAATTCAAACTCTCAATTACTTTTTAAGACCAATTAGTGAAAATTGTATTTCATCTGAACAATAATTAGTTCCAAAGTCGTTTTTAACTAGAAATTTTATCTTGGTTAATTTACCTTCCAGGTCTCAATTTATATAAATGAGGTGTATCTAGAAAATTGAAACTGATAATTCCCCTTAAAACCTACAGGTATGTTAACGTACTCCTTAATAAAGGTATGAATTTTAAAATTAGAAAGCCATTACCGACAAGATTCATACAAAATTAAACCAAAATAGAAACCAAATTGACAAATAAATAGGTTTGACTACACTAATGATATGCGACAAGTTTATAAGATAAATGTCAAAATATAGATAAAAACAACATCAAATTCAATTAAAATCAAAGGGTAACAGTTTATGATAAAGAATCACAAATAAAATGTGGAGATTGAAGAAAAAATCAAATAATAAAGAGGGGAAAGAAAATAGGGGAATACTTACGAAATCGTCGTATCAAACTAGCTCATAGAGACTGAAATTTGCTAGTGAGGTTGATTAGCAGGGGCGATTTGAGATCTAACAAATGAAGAAGGTGGTTCCCTTTCGACCACCTATTCTCCTTTTACATAAACACAGCCGGAAATCATTAGTTGGTCACTGACTGTTTGCTTTAGAATTACCATTACATGCATTCAGCTAGCAAGAAAAATTAAATTTTAGACTTCTACGAGTAGTACATAACTTGCCTTTACTTTTCTCATAACAAACTCATAGAGATTAATATACACTTATCTCATGCTTTATCTCGAATTTCCACTTCTTTGTAAAGAAAGATGAACATGAAAAGTACACTAACATAGTGGAATTTAGATAAATCATAAATCACGTGCCTTGCTAGCACTAAGTCAATGCATATTCTAATTACTCATTCAAACTTTAGTCATTGCATAACTCAAGTACCACTTTACGGTAAAGTAAGACTATCATGCTCAACTACTAGTCCTTGTACAACTACTTAAGAAAAATAAATATAAAAGTATAGAAACTTAAAAACCATGGCCTCTATGACTCAAACAATATCATAGTTTCTAGTTAAAATACATACCCACTAATTCATAATATAAATCAATATATTGATTACATGATAGGACTAATTCTCCTTCAATATAACTCCTAATTCACCTCTTTGTCATACCATCTATAGGTTCCCTATTGGCATTATCATCCACTTGCCAATTGCTTAAATTAGTCATGTAACCTAACAATTGAGAGCTTGACTAGAGGTAACTGATTATGCAGCCATGAGAAAGAGAGATAAACAGAGTATAACTGAGTTTCAGACTGAAGTAAAAGTTAAACTAATCAAACACATAAAATCTCAAAAATCAAGCAAAATCTAGAAAAAATGGGTAAATTGCAGAAAATTAGCCAATTAATCATCTTTACCCCACAAAATTAAAGCCTGGAAAATGTGACAACTGATGCAATTATCACAAATTTCTTACAAAAGTAACAAATAATCAGAAAAAAGTAACAAATAATCGAGATAATGAAAAATAAAAATCCAATTATATAATTAGAGCTTAATATTAGTTAAAAATAAAAAAAATAAAAAGCAAACCTTACCACTTTGCCGGGAGTGGTGGTTTGGGCAGTAGCAGGAATAGCACACAGCAGTAGTTTGTATGTGAAACACCAAGTCTCCAATTATAACTGGCATTGCTTTGGATTTCTGTATCTCTTTCGCTCGCAATTATTTGGATTCTCGACAAGCTTATCAGGAGAAAATAATTAAATTAAAAAATTTGTCAGATAGTTAACAAAAGATCAAATTACAAGGCAAAACAAATCAGCTGAAAAACAAAAAAACTAAAATCCCAAACTCATCTAATTACTTCAACCAATTCAGATGCATGCAAAATTTAGTATGAAAAATAGCGAAATTAAATATGTTAATAGGCGAATTGAGCATCAAATTATGAAATCATAAACAAGATCAGAGAGAGGGAATTGAAACCCTAATTTTAGCTACTCAAATTCATGTTGATAATGGAAGGGAGAGGAAATAGAACTAATCCCAACCCTAACTTTAAGGTGAAAGTTGACAAGCGAAGATGGAGGCAAGGAGGTGGCAACTGCTGTCTTTGGGGGTGGCAATCGTTGTCCCTTTAACTTGGAGCACGGGGCTGTTGGGTACTTCTTCAAGTTGGAGCACGAGTTGCGATGGAGGGAGGCTGCAATGGACAGGGCTATAGTGGAGCAGCTGGAGCGAGATGGGGACAGCGGTGGAAGCCGAGGAAATCTTGGGGGAGGAAGAAAGTTGGCAGACAGCCAACAGTGAGGTTATTAGGGTCGATCTTTTGACAAGACGAAGGGTGTATTTTTTTTATATTTTCTATAAAAAAAATATTGGATGAAAAAAAAAAAAAAATTGTTCATATCAAATTAAGTGTTACAACCAAGTGCTACCTAATATCAAATTGTTACATAATATTAAAGTGCTACCAAAAATGTTACCTAATACCACAATGTTACAAAAGTGTTACCTAAAAATCAAACAATCATGAAATTTTTAAAGTGTTACCAAGGGGTGTTACTTAAGCCCAATTTTGTACTAGTGACCCCAGAAAATTCACCCCAGAAACTTTACCGCAGTCACATATAAACTCCAGAACGTACTAGATCTGAAAAAAATAATTCAAAATCTTAGGATAATATGGGTAACAAATCTGAAAAACTGATGTTGGTGGATAGATCGTGGAGGCTTTAAAAGAAGAAGATTCAAATTGAGAAATTACATACCGGTTGGTCTTCAAGAAGAACATCATCGTCCTTTTCATTATCATCTCTTTCAATTTATCTCATTAAAATGTTGTTTTCCTCTCAATTTAACTCAAACATTCAGTAGAACACTAAAGATCGGCATGAATAAATTACCGGCGCACGGGATTTCATATTAATAGGTCGATTCGGTTAACGATTTTGGGGAAGGATTGATTTTTTTCACTTTGAAAACCCTAGATCTGTAAATGGGAATGGTTTTACAGAATATGAAGATGATAAGAATAAGGGGAATATCGCCAGGTTTTGGTAATTATTTTTCTTTCTTTTTTTTTCTTTTTCTTTTTTTTTAAGGGATAATTTTCTGTTTTGTAAATGTAGTTTTGATTGATTGATTTAAGTTATGATTATAAATTATGATTATGAATTGTGTTGATTGATTTAAGTTATGATTATAAATAATAAGTGGGCTCATTATGTTATACTAATAAGGGTAAAATAGTCGTTGTACAAGGAAAAATTTGCCAAAAAAGGAATTGATGCAATAAATAGGAAACTTCCTAAACTAGTAAGTGATGCGATAAAAGAAGAACGAAGGAAGTACAAGATTGATCGTTCATCTCCTTCACTCTCTCCCCTATTCTTATTCTTCCTTAAAACCCTAGTTGACGCTCGAGTGAAGCAAAATTCCTGGAGATTTAGCGATACTTTGTGGATTGTAAAAGGTTAGTGCTGATTTCTATTTGTAACTTTGGAGTTTTTTGGTTTAAATTGTTAGGTTTTAGTTAATGTATGTATTTTCGTTTCATTTGTTGGATTATGAGTTGAAGTTGTAATTGTGGTTGGATTTTGCTCTGAATTATGCTCGATTTGCATATGATCATGTTTGCGTGCTTAATTTTGTATTTTTGTACATGTATAATTCAATATGGGTGTGTTTATGTTTGCATGGTGCGGTGTTACTTTTTAAATGTTTAACCTAGGTTTAATTATGTGTTGTTCTTGAGTATGTGATGTTTTGTTGTGCTTAAATTGTGGTAGTTTAATCTATTTTGCAGAATGAGTAACAATGTTGTATTGAGATTTCAATATAAGGTGCATAATGTTGATATTGAAGTGGACTCTGATACTTGCAACCTAATGGATATAATGATAGAATTCGAAGATCGGTTACGTAGTTTGGCAATAGTTATATTGAACCCTATATTTGGTTATGCATATAGAGGCAAACATTGGCCATTAGATGATGATGGTGGTTTAATTAGGATGTTTAACACATTCCCTAATGCTGACATGATGAGTATATATAGGAGGAAAAAAATAGCTCTAGAGCTTCAACAACCACAACCTGCAAATCAATCACCACCTCCACCTCCACCTCCACCTCAAAATCAACCACCACCTTAATCTGAACCTTCTGACCAAGCAGGTAAAACAATCAAAATTAACATTTAATTAACGCTTTAGTTACTGTAGTTAATTAGGGAAATGTTTAGGTGTACCAATGATAAACAAAGTTTAATGATGTGTAATAAAGATAAAAGTCAAAACCTGGAGTGTATCATTAATAATGTCCCTTTATAATTCACTAAATACTTCCTCCGTTTCTTTTTAGTTGACACGTTTCTTTATTCACGTTTGGTAATGTACAAATTTAACCATTAATATCTTTAATTACCACTAAACAAAAATTATGAAAAGTTAATAATTTAAAATATAAATTGTGAAGAATCTAACAAGATCCTAAATTACTATATTTTTCATTACGTACAAAGCACAAAACACAGTCAAAGTGGAGTGTGTGAAATGTGACAATTAAAAAAAACGGAGGAAGTAATTAATTGTAAATTCTTTCTCGCAGTGAAACCAAAACCATTATGTTACTGATAACTTTAACTCCATTTTGCCTATAACGTAGCTAGTCATTTGAAAGACAGTCGACAAAATAAGTCTAGGAAATATGTTTTTTGTCCTTGTAGCTCTACTTGTTTGATTCATACACAAATTATTTCTTATGTGTTAAGAGATATTAGCAAATTTATGCTTTGTTGCCCGAAGTACTTTGCCGGTCCTCATACATAAGTGCTTTGCCATTTTGGGACCATGGTGCAACCTACAAGGCTACAACCTAGGACTCTATCTAGATTTAGCTGTCACTATAATATAGAATAGCTAAATAATTACGTGTCAATAATTTTAAACTGAGGGGAATTTTCTAAGTAAATAGATCACCAAAAAGAGTTTCCTTCTACCAAAGGCACATAAATTGAATTAGAGTATTTGACTAACTTAATCTAAAAATTAGCCAAATAACCAACACACAAGGAGAGCCAAATTGCCTAAATAAGTTGTTTTGTTTCACCATCTAATGTTGGAAAGGAATTACATGTATCAGTGACATATTACATCTAGCTTTTCCCTCTTCTTTAAGACATGAGCTTTTGTCTTACTTGGTTTCAACTCTTCTAGTACTTCTACCTCAACCTACACAAGTACATGGAGTTATTTTACATGAGAACAACACCACCTAAACCACCAAAAAATCTGTTAAGAGATTTGCACAACTATATAGATAAGAGGAATGCATATCACATATTTATAAAATCTGCTGAAAGAATGTTTAGTTTACATCACCACTGACCTCCTACCTTTCACTAAAATAGAGTGATTAAATTCTAATAATAATAAATCTAATTCTTAAAAAAATATAGTAACAGTTGCATATCTTGTTCTTTTAATTATGTTATCATAATGGTCTTGCCTGGTCTATCCATGTTGCCAATTTTTAAAAAGAATTTCTAATGAAAAGTAAATAAATCAGAATTAAGCTAAGAAAATTATTACAATTAGAAATGGGTTAGGTGTTGCAAGCCAACCTAGACTAGGAAAAAGGAAGAAGAAGAAAGGAGGTGACCATATTATTAATCCAAGTAACCCAAACGCAAAGGTTCAAATTGTAATAATAGCAAAACACACAACAAAACACATACCATAATAAGGAATCATCATAGTAATGCTTATTATAATTGTATGTGTTTAATATGATTAGACGTAATTAAAATAGTTTACGCTAGGTATAGTAATTAATGAATCACCATTGTTTTGCTGGGTCTCTTTTTTAGAACCATTTGCAGACATAACAATTCTAGTCCTAAACTTTTAATCTCATTGACTTGTTCTTTTTTTCTTGCATCCGGCTTACTATCTATCACTAGTTTCTCACATATATAAGAGATAAAATACAGGCAATTTTTTTTTTTTTTACCTCAACCAGGGTCCAATCTTATCCAAGAATGCGAATAAGAATATATAAGATTAACAAAGTAAAGAGGAGAGAACTATTGCTATTTCTTAGCATGTACCCCAAGATACTTTCTCGACTCCTTTAAACATAGGTAATATGACAACATACTCTTTATTGTCTGACACACATACAACCTGGTATGCACGACGCTTATTATTTCAGCCCACCCTTCCCTCTTCCTAAACTGGCCTGGTCAGTGGATCAACAAAGTCCGAGCATGGTGCTCTTCGACCAATAACAGATCCAGTACCCCTCACAAAACCTCCCTCTAAATAAACAGATGAACAAATTGATTTGGATAATGTAAGTAGTGAGTAACATTTGTAGCTGAAAACAGAAAAAATGAATTAATGAATAATTTAGCAGTGTTAATAATAATGACCCCCTTAATGAAAGCAGAAAAAACTAAAGATAAAATTCTAGATCCCAATTTAGAAGAAAAAAGTCACACAGATTTTTAATTAAAATAACTACTCTATTCAAAACCCTAAAGTGAAGGCTTTTCCCCGAAAAAATAGTAAAATTGATCATATGAATTCCACATATAAAAAAAATTAAATTTACAAAACATGCATTATACCATGATTACCAGTAACAATAAGTAAGGTTACTGAAATCACCAAAAGTATCTGGGATTTCACTCGCAAAGTCACAATGCTTTTATTACTTCCCACTCTAATCACCTCAAAACTGCTATTTTTTCCTAACTCAGTGAGACTCTGATGACCTCAAAACTGCTATATTTTCCTAACTCAGATAATTAAGGGTAAAAATACCTCCAAGCTGATTATCAAACAAGAACAATTTTTCAAACTCAACCCTAAATTACCAAATTAGGCTCCAAAATTCAAATAAATTCTTCTCGGCATGATATATGATTATAATTAATAATATGATCGTTCATATCTTCACCGAATACAACTATTAGTTCAAGGATCTAACTTAGAAGAACCCTAAATCAACTATACTAACAAATAAAATAATGATGAGCTTGAGATTGTGCAATTTGGTGATTAATAAACATGTTAACCTTAAACTAATCTCGAACTATAAACTTGAGATCAAAACTTTGGAGTAATAGCTGGTAAAAAAATGTTTCTGAATTGCTATCAAAACGAAAAATTAATTGTTGTCATATTATCAATTTGATCATATTATGAAAAAAAAAATTGTTTCAAAGTGATCTCTATGTCCCAATGTATTAATATTGCAATTCCCTCCTTGCCTCCTACACTCACTCGCCTTTCATGGTTGTGAGAAAATTAAAAGGCTCCTAGAAAATTTATGTCTCTCTTCCTAATTTTCATTCTAAAATGGTCTCATAAGGTACTCCCCAATTCTTCCTCGGCTCCTCCTACTCTTTTTCTTACCCCATATTCTCTCCCTCTCCTCTCTACTTTCCCATATTAATGGTTGGAAATTTATTTGATTTCCAAGTAAAAGAAATACTTGTCTCAAGCCCTTACAAGCTTTTTCTTAACAATTATTAGATGAGCTCTCTCACTGCATTTCTCATAAACTATCCTAAACAAATCTCTTTCACAACTTGAGTTATTATAACCAATAGTTGAATTATCCACCATAGAAGAACCCTATTCAATTATTGTGAATCTAAGATCATACTTGCGCAAGTGAGAATAGATTATTGTATATTATTTTTTTATGTAAATCTAAAACTATACTACCACTGTTCATTTAGCACATAGAAAAAAAATAAACTCCATATCACTTGCTCCACCTATTGCCTTTACTTCCCTTTCCCCCTACTCTTTCTATTACTCGAATCTTTTATGGTTATGAGAAAAAGTATTTTAATATTGATTATTGATTACTTCCTCTTTTTATAATTGACCTCCTCTAGTGCTCCATATCTCTTTCTCCCATCTTTCTCTCGCACCATCACCATCACATTTTCCTAATCTCCTTCTAACCGTACCATTTAGTTCCCTCATCCGTTGCCTCTATCTTACCCCCTTTGCTCCCTATACTTCTCTCCCTTTCACTCTTCTATTATAGTCTTGATAATACAGTTCGTCATACTTGCTTCCTCACCCCTCTTTGCTCCATTTTACTATCCCCCCTCTCATCTATCTTATATGGTCATGTGTAAAATATTCGATTTTTAATATTTTATATTTTTGTCATGTCATTAAAAGATATTTTATGTTCTATAACATTCTCCTCAAAGCGCTTTAATTTTCATATATCATCTTAGCCTTCACCTGTGATGAGAGCCAAAAGAAAAAGTAATGCACAATGGAAGCAACATGCTTCAACTATTAAATATGAACTTACCAGAAGCTCCCCACCACCAGCAAGAAATGCAAGCTAAATTTCTTTAATCGTGAACACATC